CGAGATTGAGGGGAGCCAGAGGCACTTTTACCCAGCGCCAAGAGCCGGATGATTGTGAAATATCACAGCAGCTGACAGATATTCGTAGGTACTCACTGCTGTCAGATTAGGGAATTATTTATAGACACCGTACACACTCTAAGAGAAGAAAAAAAAATTTGTGTTTTTTAAATTGCTCCATTGGTGAAATATGTCAACACTCAATTCTCAATTTCCCATTCATATTAAAATATGTTTAAAGTTGTGTTCTCAACTTTACAAACTTTCCAGCATGTTGGGTGGGAGGGAGATGAGCAGATCACCTGCTCCCCAGGTATACCAAAAGCACACTCCCACATTATGCTATAAGAAAAAATTTTTAAAACACCACAGCCCTTACAATTAAAGTGGAACTACACTGCACAAACCAAAAATTATCATCATTATTATTTATTATTATACAGGATTTATATAACACCAACAGTTTACGCAGTGCTTTACAGCACATTTTCATTGAGTGGAACTTTTGCTACAATTACACTACAAATGAATACAGGAGGGGTGAGAGGGCCCTGCTAGAATTATAATTCATTTTTAATATTCAATGCAAACTCACCCATCCATTCATGTCTCCATGCCTCATTTTGCTGAGAAATCACTTTGAAAAACACCCCCTAGCATTTCCGGCCATGGCCATTTTGAGCAAGGGCAGATGATTCATGTAGCATTTGGAATCTATCTGCCCTTAGCTCAGGCATGCAGGCAGGAGGGTGTGCTTAGCTGAGAAAATCACTCCTGGGATGTACAGCATCATTTACCTAAGCCTGGAAACGAGAAAGTAACTGAAGAAAAAAAAAAATTGTTAAAGCAAGTAAATATGATATACCTTCCTACCTATTTACTAACGCTAGCAGCATAAGGATTAAAAATGGTTATTGTTGATTGAGAGAGTGTAGTTCCATTTTAAGTACCTTTAAAGGATGTTTCTGCTTTTGCAGTCAAATTTGAGGAAACCCCACTATATGCACACTCCCACATTATTAAAAAAAAAAAAAATATATATATTTCTTACTGTATACAGGTGAAAACTCAAAAAATTAGAGTATCATGCAAAAGTTCATTTATTTCAGTAATGCAACTTAAAAGGTGAAACTAATATATGAGATAGACTCATTACATGCAAAGCAAGATAGTTAAAGCCATGATTTGTCATAATTGTGATGAATTATGGCTTACAGCCATAGGTTTTTAAGGTGTTAAGCTGGCCATAGATGGTTCAAATCTCAGCTGATTTAGCAGGGACCACCGAGATTCAAACCCCATGTATGGGCAGCCTTTTGATTTCACATGCGATTATTGCTAACAGCTATCATAGCCACTAGCAGTAATCTCTGTGTTCTCGTGGTGGGGAAGAATTCCCCTGCCCCTCACCCCCACCGAGAGAGAACGTGGGATCTGCGGGAAGGGGTTGCCCCATCAAACTAACTGTGATGATGGGGGAATCAAGCAATTTTATTTCCTGCAACCAGTGGTTGCAGGAAAGAAAATTGCTCCATCTATGGCCAGCTTTCTGGCTGATTTTTATTTTGGGACAGCCTCAAAGTGTCTTTGTCCCCACACTACCCCTCATTTACAGACAATGCAGGAGGATACTTCACTCTTTGTACCATTTAGGGCAGACAGTGTTTACAGCAAATATTAGGAAACCACAGCTATCATCTTAAACATTACAAAGCAAGGAGAGTATGTAAGAATTTTTAAACAAATAAAAAGCACCTAAAAACCTTAAATGTTTATTTATTTATTTAATTTATTTTACGTTATGCTACATTAATGGAAACATGTAACAAATATAGAGTAGATTTTATCCCAATTTGGTTGCAAAAGTGGAAATACACATTAAGGTAAGTTGCTTACCATAGCTCAATGGGGCTTTGCAGGTGTTATAGACTTAAAAGACTAAAACATCTTTCATTTTTTATTCCCAATCCATAAAAATCAAACATATACATTCTCTTCATCCCCTATATTGGACAAAATATTTAATCAAAATTACACAGTGCACCCTGGGAGAACCTCCTCACCGGTGTTCAACCTTCACTCTGCCAGCACTGGCCAGGGACATGTGTCAGAAGATTTAAAGTGGAACTAAACCCATCAATATACCTGTTTCCCAAAACAATTACATTCAATGCATGCCATGAATGATGACTGTCACAGCTGCTTGCACTCTCAACCGAACTGTCAAGTTATCAAATAGCTGGTGTCATAACCAATCGCATGTACAGGCTTTCTGCCATTCGAGCTAGTGGAAAGGCAAAAACCCCATTGGTTGCTTGATCTGGTAAAGGAAACGTGGGAAAATGAAACCTTACCGCACAAAGCAGTGGTAGAACATATCAGCCAAATGCAAAAGAGCGTGGCTAGAGCAGCCTTTTTCAACCAGAGTGCCCAGGCACCCTGGTGTGCCTTTAGGTTTCTTCAGGGGTGCCTTAGCAAAATGCTTAAAAATTGCCCAAAACATTGTATACAAGCCAGCAGGTGAATCAAGCCTACCTTTTAGTTATACAAAGCCACAGGTTTTCATTATGCACCATTGCAACTTTCTAGCATTCGGCAACATAACAGCCAATGATGTCATCAGTTGATAAGAAGGACATTGGGCACCAGTACAGTATCCTTGCTTGCCCCTCCCCTGCCCCTCTCAGAAGCACTGGGGTCAAATTAGCTGAGTGAGAGAAACTGAGGGAGTAGACAAACAATGGAATACAGGTCAGTACCAGTGTGCAAAAGTGTATTTGCTTTGAAAGAAATAATCAATTCTAATGTTGGGTGTCCTACATGTGAAGATTTTGCTGCATTTTAAAACGATTTGGTGTTTTATATTTTGTATTGGGTGCCTCAAGATTGAGCATAATTTTAATGGGTGCCTAGAGATTGTGGAGAATTTGAAAAGGTACTTCGAGATTGTGCAGAGTTTTAAAGGGTGCTTCAAGATTGTGCAGAATTATAAATGGTGCCTTGACCGAAAAAAGGTTGAGAAACACTGGGCTAGAGTAATGCTGTTAGTGAGGAAGCATCTTCAGAAGGCTCAGGATAAGAAATGGAGGGTGTGCAACCAGTCAGCTAAAATCAGACAGTTTCAGGTGGGAGACTGAGTGGCTGTTCTAGTGCCCTCGGTAGAGAGCAAATTTTTGGCTGGGACCATTTGAGGTGGTGGAAAAAGTGGGTGATGTGAACTACAAGGTACATCAGCCTGGGAAGAGGAAACTGTACCAAATGTATCATATAAACTTAGCAAAACCCTGGAGAGACAGATAATAGGTATCCACTGTGGTAAATGTCAACTCAAGGGATCCTGCAGGAGTTGACCAGGTGCAGGTTGCTGCTACCATGTCTGAGCCACAAACCCAACAAGCAAAAGAGTTTATGCAGAGAAATAGAGAAATGTTTTCAGGATTTCCTCATCTCACCAACGTCATTGAGCATGACATTGTAAAGGTCCATTTAAAGCCATATCATATCCCAGAAGCACATAGAGTGGCAATGTCCAAGAGATGAAAAGAATGTTTGAACTTGATGCCATTGAAGAGTCACGGAGTGCGTGGTCGAGTCCAATCATTTTGGTACCAAAACCCAAAGGCACCCTGCGCTTTTACAATTAATTTAATGAAGTTTCCAAATTTGATGCCTATCCAATGCCCCAGGTAGATGAGTTAATTGAGAGACTGGGTACCGGTACATCAACACACTAGACCTCACAAAAGGGTACCGGCAGATTCCCCTCACCAAGGTAGCCAGGGAGAAAAAAGCTTTTTTCCACCCCTGAAGGCCACTTTCAGTATAAGAGGATGCCATTCGGCTTACACTGTGCCCTGGCCACTTTCCAAAGGGCAATGGACACAATATTATGCCCGAACCGGCAGTATGCTTTGGTCTACCTGGATGACATTGCCATTGTTAGTACCGATTGGGAGTCCCATTTTCCCCAGGTTCAGGCAGTTATAGACTCCTTGAAGGGAGCAGGATTCACAATCAATCCCGAGAAGTGTGCAGTGGGGATGGAGGAGGCCAGGTACCTAGGGTACTTTGTGGGTAGTGAGCTAATGAAACCTCAAATGAATAAGGTGTAAACCATATGGAACTGGCCCTGTCCCCTAACCAAGACACAGGTCAGAGCTATTTTGGGCATAGTTGCCTACTATCAGATGTTCATCCCCAACTTTGCCACCATTACTGCACCATTAACTGACTTAACAAAAGGCAGGAAGTCAGTAACAATAAAGTGGAATGCAGATGCAAAAGAAGCTTTTCAGAAGTTTAAGACTGTGTTGTGCCAGCATCCGATGCTCGTGGCTTCTGATTTTTCTAAGGAGTTTGTGGTGCAGACAGGTACCTCAAGTGAGGGCTTGGGAGCTGTCTTGTTTGAAGTGGTCAATGGGGAAGAGCACCCCATAGTCTTTCTCAGTAGGAAACTGATGGCAGCGGAGAAAATCTATGCTGTGGAGGAGCGAGAGTGTCCCACTATAAAACGGCTCTGGACTGTCTATGGTACTTTATGCTAGGCAGGAGGTTTCACCTGGTGTCAGACCATGCCCCATTGACCTGGATGAGACAAAACAAACAGACCAATGCCAGCATGGCAAGATGGTTCCTTTCTCTCCAGGAGTTCAACTTTGGAGTAGAGCATAGTCCTGGAAAACAGCATCAAAATGCAGTGAGGGATTCCAGGACAGTTGTACAAAGGAGAGGACTGACACAGTCCTCTCAGCTTTAGTAATAGCTTATTTGGGGCCCAGAATTTTGGAGGTCTAGAGTAAAATTCGGGTGGGCAAAGGACCTCAACTCCTGACTATGGGGACTCCTGGCCCTACAGGGTTAGGCAGCCTCCAGGAAACAGCACATAAGGCAGGAAGTTTCCAGTGCTAAGGTTTGGGAAGTAGGAGCTTGAGAAAGAGACTTGTCTGATGGCTGCACATGTGCTGGAAGCTGCAAAACAACCATTGGACTGTGCTAACCTTGGGGCAGGGGCGGACTGACCATTTGAAAACTTGGGCACTGCCGAGGGCCCGGGGTCAGTAGGGGGCCCCATGAGATGCCCCTGGTACCTTTCTCATAGGCTTTTTTGAGTTTGGGCAAGGACACAGGGGCCCCATGATCCCCTATTGCCCGGGGGCCCCATGAGTTGTCATTCCGCCTCTGCCTTGGGGTAAATCCTGCATATGAACTTTGTTTCCTTCATAATGTTTATGCTGAAGATAAGCAGGCTTTTTTATTATATTTTCTGGAATTAAGTAATTTTGGTGATGCTGCTGAAAGTGCTGTTTGGTTTCTTGTGAAAGAAAAATAAACACCTTTGTGTTTAAGTCAAACAGCTTTGCACATGGTCCCGAGGAGCTATACCCCTGAACTTTACAGTACACATTATTTCTCTTTGGTACCAAAAAAGTCCCACTGATTAAGTAAACTGTAAAATGTGTTCTATAAGTTTATAAGAGATGTGGTGTCTATGATTATCAATCCACTGCACACATTAATTTGAAGTAAAAGGGCTAAAAATGGAAAGAAAAGTTCTCACATCGACCAAACAAATTTCAGCTGTAATTTTCCATAGCAAGTCAGGAACTTTTTGCTGACTGACTGCTGTGATTATTTTTTCCCCTGCAGATTAAAGCCCAACCAAAGACACAGGATTAGATATTGGGTTAGATAAACAAATACTAATGACATCTATTTTTGAGTTTACCTCCGGTAACCTGCTGAATAGAGTGAATGTCACTGCGCAATCCATTAGGCACAAGACCCTGACCGCGCTGCCCAATGCATGCTGTATACACCCCCTCAGCACTTCAAGTCTGCATGAGGATGCTTTTGATGAGGGTTGTGGTCATTACTAAGCTATGCCAGCATAGAAAACCAGAATGGGAGGAGATGAAGCCCTGAGAAAAAGCCAGTTAAGGGTTTTTTTTAATCTATAAAGGAGCATAACATAACAAGGTACAGGACTATAAAGAGGAAAAAGCTGTGGGACTTCATTACGTTGCCTAAGAGTGGTTGATATATGTTTTTTTAGGTGCTGCCCAAGCCTTTATCAACCTTTTCACCCCAGAGGAACCCTTGAAATAATTTTCAAATCCAGGGAACCCCTAGTAAGATTAGTCTATCAGGGGTCATTGGGAAAATGTTCCTTACATTGGTGGTGGTACATGGGAGGAAAGTCCCTGTAATGGTCAAGCATACCTGGCACACAAATAGCTGTGTGTATAGCAGCCATTTTGTAAGCCCCTAGTAAGATTCGTTTATCAGGGGTCATTGGGAAAATGGTCCCTACATTGGTAGTGGTACATGGTAGGAATGTTCCTGCAGTGGTTGTGCGTGCTTGGCACACAAATAGCTCAGTGTGTAGCAGCCATTTTTTTCACCTCACAGGTCTCTCATGCCATTTTGTCATAAGAAGGCATAGCCACAGTGACCTTTACCACCCTCCTTCCTTCAGTTTTTACAATACACAAACTTTTAGCCAATGTCAGAACCTACTTATCAGATCCTTGAGGGGACAGAGGCAGATCCTCTCATGCCTATTAGCCTGAATTCACATGTCAGTCTACAAACCCCAATAAAAAGTCAGACTCCACAAGCCTGAGTTGTAACAGATACGCAATCGTAAAAAGCTCAATTAGGGAAATGGCCAATACACATTCCTGTTAGTCTGGTTATTAGCCAAGACTCTAAAACTCTGTATATTTCATGACTCAAGAAATAATAACAGCACAGCCAGAATAAAGACATATTTGCATCACTTAGTTAATTTGTAGCTTTTTGAGCCAAAACATTGTTAACCTAGGAGTACCGGAAAAAGAACTAGCCTAATTCCTCTCCTAGGCAAATCGGACATCTGAAACCTGTCATATTTATTTTAATCCCAAGGCTAATTTCACGCTGGACAATAATATACACATTAGCAGTCTTTAAATGGTAGGTATTCAGAGATATTATAGAAAACTGTATTTGGAACTTGGTCATAAATGTGGTTACATCCCAGCAACCACCCCTTAGACCGGATGATTAGTCAGATGGTCTCTGTCAACAAGGCCCTTGATGTGAAGAAAAGTGTAATGCAACCACATTTTTATGCCTCCCGTTTAGCATCAAACCAAGGAACAACTGTCAAGTCATTTTGCTTGATTGATTAGACTCTGCTAAAACCAGGACTTACAAGTGTTCTTAGGTTTTCACCCTTTTATCTTTCTGTTGCTTGTTGCCTGTTTGTTACTTTGTAAAATCTTTGTGTTTTTTTGTAATATTTTATTAGCACCATTTTACCTTTTCATTATTAAACTATATTTTGAAAAGTGTTAACATTTACTCTGAGGCTCTAATGTAAACTAAAATAATCCCTGTCTTTTGAAGTGTTCCACTGTATATGATAAATCTCTGACAATACCTGTCTGTGGTGACAGTGTGTGTGCAGACATTTATTTAAAACTATAACTGTAATTGCTAATCTTGTGAAGTTTTCGGGTCTTTGTTAAAAGTCGCAGTAGCAGTTTAAAGAGTTAATTGCTTAGTTAACGTAACCTAGTACCAATTAGTCTGTTGGCACCTAGATTGTGGTTCCGCAAGCTTGAAATCTTTCTGCAGTGTGGGCTGAGAGTGCCATTGTTGTGTAAGTGACAGCACAGTGTGAGGATGTCCATTTTTTGGTCAAAAGTTGGTGAAGAGGATGGTGGTCGGACACCCACATTTTTTCACAGTCTCCCTTACAAAGGTGGCTTGTGTGACAGCCTTGTAGTCATACCGCTGGTTCTACCCAGTGGCATTAGACCTAAAAACATGCAGGCACCATCAGATGGTAGGTCAGTTAGCCACAGCTCAAGGAACCCCTAGCCACCCATGGAGAAACCCTTGGATTCCACAGAAACCTGGTTGAGATTGGCTGTGCTATTCAAACCCTTAAAGCAGATCTACAGCAAAAGATAACAAAATACAAATAAATAGCCAATTAAAAAAACTAAATAATTGTAGTCAGAAGGGAAGAACCAAACTTACCTGGATTTGGTTCCTTGGAGGTTCTCCAACTGTGCCATAGTTCAGAATATTTATCCGAACTCCACTGAATACAATTGGAGCCAAATATTTCAAATCAATTCTGGCCATAGTCAATGGAGAAAATGTACAGGGTGCTCGGCACATGTACTGATGCAAAAAAAAAAAGTAAAAATAGTACTGTTTGGTAGGTAGCAGCAATTTCAATAATGTACAAAGTGAAACATTAAAAGCTCCCAATTTCTTTAAATAACATGCTTGGGGACATGGTAAACCTGACTGTGTAGAGGTGCACCCAGATAACATATATAACCTACTGTACGAAAAGTGAAATTTCCAAAGAAAAATTACCATATACATTGTCAGTAAATGACTTGTCCCTGCCAGCTTTGTTTTCTTTGTAAAATTGGCATGGGAACCCCTCAAAAATATGCATGAGTTTGTGCAACATCTGCCATACAGTTTTTCCTTGAGAATCACAGTATGCTGGTCTGGTTTAAAGCTCCTTTACCTGTGAAGACTGTGAGTACGATTTTTCTTGGGGTCTGCTGTGTCCTTTGGGTAGCCTGTGACAAAACCCTCTCAACCATGAATTTATGGCAGTTAATAAGCTTCTTATTCAAAGTAAATGGCGCCTATTTGTCCACAACTATACATCAAGGACTCTACCTTGGGGTCAAATATCAGCCTATCTGACCACAGGCTGTGTGGTGGATATGATGCTTCACAGTAAACACAGCTTTTGTTGCCATATTGGGCTTTTAAACCAGAAATTCCAGATTCAGTACTTTCTTCTGTTACTAGATGTCCTCAAACTAGTGGCCAGCATCATTCATTCAACCCACTTTCTCTAAACCCAAATCATCCTGGATCCACCTCAGCCTGTGACTGGGCAGTGAAAGGAGAAGCAGCACAGTGATGAACTCATCTCTCTGTCACTCTGCTCTCCTTCTATTGCCATACTAATTATCAGCACATGAGCTGATTGGCTCCTTCTACTATTTTTTTCCTTGTACTACAAGGGCAAGGCCTGAAAGAGGCTTATAACGGGTAAAATTCAGGCACTTACAATAAATAAATAAATTTAATGATGTATTAATTATTACAGAGCTGCATTAATTTGTGTCTTTCATATCTGCTAGAGTTCAGGCTTAAAGTTTACTGAACCCTCAACAGTAAAATCAGTCTGTATATGCAGTAAAGCATGCTTGTTATACTCACTGTAGAACTTAAGGGGTTAATCCTCTGAATTGTGTAAAAAAAGATGTTTTATCCTGTCTTCTCTGGTCCTCCCCTTCTTCCATGTTTCCCATTTCATCTCCTGATAGAACACAGCCTCGGGGACACTCTGCACATGCTCCATTTGATGTGTACGGCGAGAGTGCATGTGAACAGCAGAGGACCAATCAGCACTATCCAGACAGAGGGTCAGGGGTTATGCAATCTCATAGGGCAGTGAGAGGAGAATGAAAACTCCTTCTACAACCTTTAACCAGTGCTCTGCTGGACACTGATAGAAGTAATAAGACTGCTTTAACGGCTGATGATAAAAGGTATTTAACAGTTTATATTTACTAAAATAATTGCATTTCCATGTTCTGTGTACTGTGGGAGACCAGATATAGTAAATCAGGGACCTGGGCAGGGGCGGACTGACAACTCATGGGGCCCCCGGGCAATAGGGGATCATGGGGCCCCTGTGTCCTTGCCCAAACTCAAAAAAGACCTATGAAAAAGGTACCAGGGGCATCTCATGGGGCCCCTACTGACCCCGGGCCCTCGGGCAGTGCCCGAGTTTCCAAATGGTCAGTCCGCCCCTGGTCCTGGGTCTAGTAACACTTTAAGGCCTCATTCACACCTGAGTGTAGTGGGATTACACCTACAATGCCAAAATTGGGCATTAGTGACTTTACCTGTTCTTAGAGTATATTTGGTTTTGTAGTGAAGCAAATTACTGCCAACTCAGCCTTAGAGCCAACCAGGTCAGTTCTGACTAAAGCAAATGTATTTGCTTCTCCTTATTTATTTTTTGTAAAAAAATTTTGGTTATGTTTGTCAAAAATGAATAACTTTGGGAATACAACTTATGTTCCGATGAGAGTAAATAAGTAATATAAGTTCAGGATATCTTCTAGAAAGCATGGTGCTGCAGTGAGATAATATCAAAGTAAATCAAGGTCTGCATTGCACATGAGTTTGAATTCCTTTAGCTAAATCCTAAATTTATATCATATAAACTATAAAAACAATGTTTACA